ACACCTGCTGTAATTACAGGTCAATACTCTAGTCAAAGGTCAGAGGTCAAACTGACGCAAATTAATTCCCAAAGTCTTGTAAAAATACAGATGAAACCCGCAGCATCATTTAGCACAGATGTAACCTCAGAGGAAACACGAATTTTGCTGCTTCTACACTTTATGTTTTGGTTTCTTGTCCTCTCAGACCAGCAGGCGGAGGTGGAGGTGAGGGAAGGGTCACAGTCTGTCATCCTGCCCTGCAACACAACACCTGACCTGCCTGAGGACACCACAGTGGAGTGGACTCGCTCTGACCTCGGACTCATCACAGTCCATGAGTATTCTAACAGAAATGATGACCTTATGACTCAGGACGAAGTTTACAGAGACCGAACGAAGATGAGTGAAGACCCACTGAGAACTGGAGACCTCAGTCTGACCCTGAAACACCCCACAGAGAGAGACACGGGACGATACATCTGCACCATCTACAGGGACAAAGACATCCTGACACAGAAAGTAGTGCTGCAGGTCAAAGGTCAGTGCTGTAAGTTGAGGTCAGAGGTCAGTTTTCTAGATACAGGTCACAGGTCAGAAATCTTTTTTTTGCTTCTCCACAGAACCATTTCCATCCTGGTCCAAAGTTTTAGTGGGTTTCCTGGTTCTCCTGGTTGTTCTTGGGTTTTCTGGAGGTCTTTTTTTTCATTTGCGGCAGTATTTCATGTCAGGTGAGTGTCTCCTACTACACTACCCATAATGCCGATGGTTAGCAGGTGTCTGCTCATGTTTCAAACCTCTTTTCCCCACTCTGCGACACACCCGCCGGGGATCAAACCCTGGTTTGTGGCTCTATAAAAAGGAACTCCGTAAACCTTTGACATCTTAGTATTCATCACTGACTGTAGACAATTTAAAAAAATACTCTAAGTTTCTCTTCAGAATGTTAGGGTCCCTGGGTCGTCGACCCACTGTTTTGTATTTTTGGTTCTTTGATTTTGTTATTTCATTATATTCTAGCTTTGCTTTATAGGTTTTAGGATTATTCTTAGTTTAGGTTCTCTGGGTGGGGTTTGGTTGGAGTTTTAGTGTTCTGGTTTTCTGTCTGTGTTCCATAGTTGCTGTCTCTCCTATCTGCTGTATCCCCACGTCCAGTCAGTGTCTGTGTCTGCCCTGGTCCCACGTCTCTGTTCCCTTTGTTATAGTGCTTGCCTGTGAGTCTGTGTTATGTTTCCTGTTTTACTTTGAAAGTCCGTGTCTCATGTTAATGCGTCTGGTTTTGCTTCCTCTTGTCTCGTTAGGCCTGATTTGCCCAGCTGTGTCTCCCTCCTCTTGCCCATTACCTGATTGCTCCCTCTATGTATTTAAGCCCTGTGTTTCAGTTTGTCAGTGTCACAATCTACTCTTATCTACCCTCACGTATGCTGTGTGGTTTTTTTTCCCCCTGCCTGTGTTAATGTTTGTACTTTCAAAGTTTGTTACTTTGAATTCAGCATTAAAGCTGTTTTGAGTTACTTTCTGTCTCTGGAGTCTGCACTTTGGGTCCTTCTCCTGCCTGCACACAGCCGTTCCATAACACAGAACTGTAGCCAGCCAAGTCAGAGCACTCTTGAGACAACCATTCATTTAGTGTTAATGGTGATAACTTCATCAATTTCTTCACAAATACAATTCTAACCATTAGA